GCCCTGGCTCACCTGGAGCTCGCCATAGACCAGGCTCACCTTGAACTTGTGGCAATCTTCCTGCCTCTGGCTCCTGAGTACTGGGTTATAGGCGTGTGCCACAACACCTGGCTAGTTCTGCATTGGTTTTAATAACATAACAGTGTATGTTAAAGAGAAGAGGGCATGTTTATGTAGACACATGAGGGCCCCAGGGGGCCGTGAGGTGACAGGTTTCATATGCAGCGGCGGCTGCCTTGTGACACCAGACAGAGCGAGGTGGGCTGGGTTCTTGGCAAAGTCTCTGGCGGCAGCGGTGTCAGGTGAATAGCCTCAAACCACCAGCTCTGCCTGTTGAGCTGAGTGAAGGACTGGAATGAAATATTTCACCCTCTGACAAGGGAGGCACCCAGGAGTGGCATTCTGGGCTCCCTCTGGTCCCCAAAACTGAGCTGGGTACAAAATCCTGAGTCTCCCCCAAACCAAGTACTTTTCCAAGGAATCCAAGAGGGGTGTTCACTAAAGCAAGTTAGGGTTGTAAGGAAAGCACAAACATGGACTTCTGAGCCAGGACAGGATGGGGCTGCCATGTGGATCTGCAGCCCACCTGTCTCTCACAGGTCACCCTGGAGACCACCATCGGCAACAAGAACTCAGCCCTGTGGAAGTACGTGCAACCCCAGGGCTGCGTACTGGAGTGGATTCGAAACATCGTGGCCAATCGCCTGGCCCTGGATGGGGCCACCTGGGCAGAAGTCTTCAAGCGGTTCAACAGTGGCACGTGCGTGCGTTCCTGGCCCCGTAGCCCTACTTGGGGACCCTTTACCACTCAGAACAGAGGGGACCATCGGGGCTCTGGGGCCTTCTGCCCAGCCCCTTCTTGCAAATGCTTACTGGAGCAACCCAAGCCCTTTCTTTGTTTTCTGATTGGGTAAACTGAGGCTCAAGAATGAAAGAATTTCCTTTTACCCTCTCCTGTAAGCGTTTCAGACTTAAAGCCGTTCCTTCCTTGTGCCTGGCAGGTATAATAACCAGTGGATGATTGTGGACTACAAGGCGTTCATCCCCGACGGGCCCAGCCCTGGAAACAGGGTGCTTACTATCCTAGAACAGATCCCGTGAGTCCTGGGGGCAGAGGGTGCAGGCGGGAGGCTCAGGACACAGCACAGCTCCTGCCCGGGGCCCTCGGAGCTTGTCCCCTCACTTGCTTTGTCTCTCTCTCTCTCTCTCTGGGTCTCAGGGGCATGGTGGTGGTGGCCGACAAGACTGCGGAGCTCTACAAGACGACCTACTGGGCTAGCTACAACATCCCGTATGTCCTTCCTTTTTCTACCCCCACCCCCATCTGTCCTCCCTGAGGCAGGCTCCTTCCCCAGGTGGCATTTTGAACATGCAGGGCAATGAGAACTGCCCCAGCCCCTCTCCTGCTGTTAAAGTTCTACCTCATATGTGACCTCCAGTTCTGGTACTGCTGCAGGGTGTCTTTGGATGGACACACCTTGGTACTGGATATTGCCACACATTCAGCTGAACCCACCCCATCTCCTGAGAGATGGAGATGCCCATTCCGTACCCAGGGAAGCTGGAGCATGGCTGGGGCAGCCTGAGTCCCTAAATGCAGTCTTAGCTGGGTTCCTCCGAGCTGCCTTACAGCCTGTGCTTTCTCAGGGTGTAAGGACCTGCCATTGAGTCCTTGTGACCATGATACCTGAGTGTAGGAGCCTGTTCTCATTCTCGTTCCATAGATGTGGAAACTGAGGCAGGGATCCTGGCTCATCCATAGCTCCTTGGTCAGAGAATTCTGAAATAGACCCCAGAGCCCAGGTTTATCCCCTACAGTACAAGAGGGCCTTGTTGCGACCTGATGTGGCCCTGACAGCAGCGGCACTGTGACAGTCAGTCATGGCCAGTGGGAGTCGTGGGTGACCACCCTTGTCCCAGCAGGTTCTTTGAGACTGTGTTCAACGCTAGTGGGCTGCAGGCCTTGGTGGCACAGTATGGAGACTGGTTCTCCTACACTCAGAACCCTCGAGCCCAGATCTTCCGGAGGGACCAGTCATCGGTGAAGGACATGGACTCCATGGTCCGGCTCATGAGGTGGGTCAGCATACTCCTGGCTTGGTGCGGAGAGTCTCGTGTGTGTCTGTGACAGTACTGTTGAACCTTGCCACCAGCCTTAGTCTGCAGGTGGCGACCCTGCTCCCCACCGTCCTTGGGGAACCCCTTTCTTCTGGGAGGTGGAGATGCCTGCCCAGGACCCAGACTGGAGCTGAAGTGTGGTGAGGCAGCCTGAGCCCCCACACATGCTGTTGAGGAATAGACCAGGTGTCTGGCCTGCTTGGTGGAGGGGCCTGGAGAACCTCCCCCAAGAAGAGCCAAGTGACGAGCCTGGAGGTGTGAGGGTAGGCCACAACTGGGACTGGGGTCACCCTGTGGAGGGATAAGAGTGGGCCGTATCTAGGACTGGGGTGACCCTGTGGAGGGGTAAGAGTGAGCCATATCCAGCTGTGCCTGAGTCATGGCTGATGCTGGGAGAAGCCTAGGAAGTTCAGGAAGGAGTCTTGGCCACCCTGTGCCATGAGGAGTTTGGCTTTCCTCGAGCATCCCTTCCATCTGCACACAGGTACAATGACTTCCTTCACGACCCTCTGTCACTGTGTGAAGCCTGCACCCCGAAACCCAATGCGGAGAACGCCATCTCTGCCCGCTCTGATCTCAACCCTGCCAATGGCTCCTACCCGTTTCAGGCCCTGCGCCAACGGGCCCATGGTGGCATCGATGTAAAGGTTTGCCACCCAAGCCAGCTGCCACATGGCCTGGGGAAGGGCAGGTGGGGCAGATGTAGGATCGGGTCAGACGGGTCAAGGTTAAGGGACACCTGCTTGGGGTCAGCCTTAGAATGGTGCTCTGAGAGTTGGGCCCCCCAGACTGAGCCCCATAAACTCAGTGGCCTGCTCTCTGACCTCCAGGTGACCGGCTTTTCCCTGGCTAAGCACATGAGCATGCTGGCGGCCAGTGGCCCCACGTGGGACCAGTTACCCCCTTTCCAATGGAGTCGATCACCGTTCCACAACGTGCTGCACATGGGCCAGCCCGATCTCTGGACATTCTCACCCATCCAGGTCCCATGGGACTGAAGATCTGCCTGTACCCAGTTGCCTTCATTCTGTGTGGCTGCCCACCCTTTGGGGCTCTGGTCTGGATGGTCTTCTCTGCAGGGACACAGACTCAGTGGGCTCAGAGCTGATTCTCCGCCCCCCACTGCTCTTGCTCTGTGCCTGTCACCAGTGGGCTGGGGCTTATGCTTGGCTGTGGGCCTGGTGGGATCCTGGGTGTCGTTCTCCTACTGCTGGCCCCTCAGTGCCCGTGTGGACTCTGACAGAGCTCATCGTTGCCGTCACTGCTAGCCTGCGGGCCCATCACCTCAGGGAACAGTCCGTGTGCCCTCTGGGCAGCTTTCCTGAGGTAGAAGCTTGAAAACAAAAACCAAAGTTTCTGGCTGCTGGTAGCTGGAGGGTCTTGTGTTCTTTCTGCAGGAGGGGTACACCATCACCCTGTTCTCCTGCCCCACCCCCAGCCCAAGTGTGCCTCTGGCCTCCTGGTAGGTGTCCTCTGTTCCATGGGAGCCAAGCATGGGCTGTACTCGCACTGAGTAGGAGGGGTCATGGCCATGCTGTGTCTTGTGAGGCAGCAGTGAAGGTCAGGGCCCTGTACCACGCCCTGCCCATTGTTCTCGCCGTCCATCTGTCCTTTCACTCCTCTGCCAACCCGCTTACCACTGTCTGTCTGCATAGCCAGCCGCCTGCCCCATCCGTCCACCCACTCACCCGTTCGCTCTCCCATCTGTCCAGCCCTCCCAGCACCCATCCTCACCTACTCACCCAGCCAGAACCGCACACCCTTTCCTTTCGCTTCTGAGACAGCCCTTGCTCTGTAGCTCAGGCTGGTCTTGACTTTGTGACCACTGTGCCTTCCCCTCGCGTGCTGGATTTACATGTGTGGGCCACCATGCCTGTTGTCTGCTTTTCATCTGTCAGCGAACAGTCTGTCTCTGTTCGCTTGTCTGTTCCTCCCTGTGTGTCCATTTATCCCTGTCAGTCCCTCTGTCCATCAACCCTTTCTCTCAGTATCCATCTCATGTGCTGTATTCTGGGTCCTACTCCGGCCTGCCCTGCTGACCACCAAGATCCTAAGTCCTGTTGTGAGGTCCAGAGACCCACAAGAAACCAAGTCCTCCCTGTTTGGTCTCACAGGCTGAGAACTCACAACCTGTGAACCAGAGGTCTGTGCTCTAGTCCTCTTCCTGCCTAATCTGTTGGTGGGGTCCTGGGAGATGTGAGCTGCACTCCCTGGAATACAGGCTTTACCCTTACTCACAGTAGATCTCACTGAGCCCTCAGTACTTGGACTGTGTTAGGAAAGTGAGAGAGTGTCCCTTTGTGATATGCACAAAAGCTAACTGCACTGACATAGACCAGCGTCCTAGAGCCCTGCCATGCTGGGGTGGGCAGTGGAGCGAAAGACCTGCTCTGCCAGGGCCCTGAGGTCCTGAGTGGTGTGGGTAGCTCTGCCCCAGCCAGCCCAGAGTCTGTCATGTATTTTGAGTTTTGTTGGAAGGGGAGGTCAGATTCACTTCACCTTTCCTGCCCTGCAGACAAGAGTACAGGGTTGGTTTTCTTGCACATGGGTGGGGCTGCAGGTGTTTTAAGAATGTCCTTGTCCTGTTAGTAAGGACTTCATGTTAGAATGTGGTGTCTTTGTCTGCACATCTCGCAGCTGCTTTGGCCCTACCCTAGGTCTCTGTGGCTTAGCTGTGGTCCCGTCTCCAGATTGATGAATGTGTGGGCCCCACTCTTACACCAGTCCACTGGGAGACCCAAGTGACTAGTACGTGGGTAGGGAGCTCCTCTGGGAGCCAGGGCAGCTGTGGCAGGGTGCAGGCCAATGTCCATTACAGCAGCACTCTGGAGGCTTACGCTGCACATAGGCCACATGTCAAGAACAAACAAAACTCTAAAGTCTTTGCTTTATAAATATATATATATATTATTTATTTACAGTGAAAAAGTGCACATTATAAACACGGGTAAAGGAGGGTGAAGCCACTGTCAGGTGCGTCCTCTGCCCACACTACTTAGGGTGCGGGGTCACTTGGGCAGCCCATTCAGACCGAGCTGTGCTTTGAGAGCCTGCAGCTGTGCCAGGCTGATATTGCTGCCGCCACACACAACCACCACCAGTGAAGTCAGCGGCCTTGGCAGCCGGCCCTCATCCTGCAGCCTGCACACCACGCCACTGTACACTGCAGCCAGAGCCGCGCCACACGCAGGTTCCACTAGGATCTTCTCATCATCTGTGGGGAAGGGGGCTGGTCAGCTCTCAGCACTGTTGGTCTTGGACCAGACCTCTCACTGTGGCTGGGACTGTGTAGGCTGACTCCAGCCTCAGTTTCTTCAGCCTGTGCTAAGAGTTCTCGGCACCTGAGGGGAGTCACAGATGCCTAGGTGTGGGGCAGCAAGCTGTGTTTGTTAGTAGCTGACAGTGTGTCATTTTTCATCCTTTTTGGCCTTTTTTTCTCTCTTTGAGAGGTTTCTCTGTAGCCTTAGCTGTCTTGGAACTCACTCAGTAGCCCAGGCTGGCTTTGAACTCACAGAGGTCTGCCTACCTCTGCCTTACGAGTGCTGGTATTAAAGGCGTGCACCACTACCACCAAGTTCCTTATGAACATCTTGTTCCAGGCTGAACCAAGAGAGTTCCATTTTAGACCACTTCCGAATCCAACTCATCTCAATGCTTTCCCTTCTGACTCTGGCTACCAGGAAGCTCAAAATGGACATTTGGGAGGCTGGTTGTCTTCCCTGCCATCATGGTTATCAGCCTCACTTTTTTTGTTATTAAAATATTTTTCATTTATTTTACATACTGACCATAGTTTCCCCTCCCTCCTCTCTTCCTGGTCCCTCCCTTCCACTTCCCTCGAACCCCCCACCCCAATCCATTCCCCTGTCTCCATTCAGAAAGTGGTAGCGCTCTCATGGGAGTCAACAAAGCATGGCACACCGAGTTGAAGCAGGACCAAGCTCCTCCCCCTGCACCAAGGCAGGGCAAGGCAACCCAGCATGGGGAATAGGTACCCAAAAGCCAGCTCAAGCTCCAGGCACAGGTCCTGACCCCACTGCTAGGAGCCTGACAGGCAGACCAAGCTGCACAGCTGTCAGCCACATGCATAGGGCCTAGGTTGGTCCCATGAAGGCTCCCTAGCTATTGGTCCAGGCTCAGGTCAGCTGTCTCTGTGGGATCCCGTGATGACCTTAACCCTCGGACTCGTGCAATCCTCCCTTTCTCTCCAACAGGTTCCTGGAGCTCAGCCCAGTGCTTGGCTCCTAGGAATCCACCAGGATGACGCCAGCTAAGACTCCTAGCAGTAGTGGAGGGGGTGCCCAACCTGGCCATCTAACGTCACCAGAGTGGTGACTACCCTAATTGTCAGCGGTGAGCGTCCGTCCAGTAACTGATGGAAGCAGATGCAGGCTCACGAATGAGTGACTTCGGTGTTCTTACCACTGACTAGCTTCAGCTTCCACTCATGGGGCATTCTAGGCCGAGGAGGGAAAAATGAAGGGCAAAAGGTCCCTCGGTACATACCCACAAACTTCTCAATAGCGGACACAGCCTCCCGGTCCGAGATGACCTCAGAGAAAATGGGGTGTTCGTAAAACAGCTTCAGGGCCTGCGCCCCCACAGTGTTCACACCCAAGGCCTTGGCAACACTGGGAGATGGGAGGGGAGTGGGAGACAAGGCAGAAGGATGCACGTTAGAGGCAGGAACTACAGGTGAGGGGTGGGATTGGGCAACCTCTGCCCACCTCTGGGAGCCTGCACAGTGGTCTCCGCCATCACACTGGCCTGGCTCACATGTGTCCTGTCCCCAGCCTGTTCATTTGCTTTCTGCCCCAACCAGCCAAGCTCAAGGTGAAGGCCTCCTCTTCCACAGAGCCTTCCAGAGGGAATCCCCAGTCCCTGGGTTTACTTGAGTTTCTCAGGTAGTCCCCTCCCATCCTAAAGGATCAAGTGCCACACGCTTCCCAAGCTCAGTTTTTAAGAATATTTATTATGTACACAGTGTTCTGCCTGCATGTATGTCTGCACACCAGAAGAGAGTACCAGGTCTCATTACAGATGGCTGTGAGCCACCGTGTGGTTGCTGGGAATTGAACTTAGGACCTCTGGAAGAGCAGTCAGTGCTCTTAACCTCTATGCCATCTCTCCAGTCCCCAAACTCAGTTTTATAGAAGGGGAATCAGGAACAAAGGTGGGGCAGGCAGTGGATGTCCCAAGGTCACATTAACTTAGGGGCCAAAATGGCTGCTTGAATGCCAGCTACTGCACCCATACTCCATGGCAGGAAAGAGCAGTGTACCAGGATGCCAGTCTCAACAGTGACATCATTCCCCGAAATCTGGAAAAATCCTTTACCTGATTCAGCCTTCCCTCCCTCTGACAGAAAGTGTTGTCTCCCTAGAAGTGTCTTCTATGGCCCTCAAGGATGTCTGGTGCAAACCTTGTCCAGCCTCCCTTGCAGCTAGGTGTGGCTGCACAACCAAGTTCTGCCCAGTGGGCAATAGAGGAAGTATAGACAGCTCTGACTTCTGAGGGTTGGTCTGAGAGTGCTGTGTGCCAAACAGCTTAGATAGGCAGACCAGGTTTAACGCTAATGATGGGTTTGCTGAGGCGTGACCCTACTGTCAGTCGAGGAGCAGCCCCACTTTGTCTTTAAAGTTTGGGTACATCTGCCAAGCGGTGGCGCACACCTTTAATCCCAGCACTCAGGAGGCAGAGGCAGGTGGATCTCTGTGAGTTTGAGGTCAGCCTGGTCTACAAGAGCTAGTTCCAGGACAGGCTCCAAAGCCACAGCGAAACCCTGTCTTGAAAAAAACAAAACAAAAAATTTAGGTGCATCCTTCTGCCCTCACTTCCTGTTTTCAGACGGGGTGTGGCTGTGCTGGCTGGCACAAAAGCAGCCACTTTGGGCCCTAGGTCAGCACACTCAGAGTGGTGGTGCAGCAGGACTCAAGGAAGTTGGCCCACAGCTTCAAGGAGCTCTCCCTACAAGGCCTTCTCTTTTTCTTTTTTTTAAGTAGGGAAAAACAAAGTTCAATTTTGTTTAAGCTTCAAATCTGGGGTTTGGTTATAAATTCTTGCGGGCGAGAGGGTGTTTTATTTCCCACCCTGTGTCCAGGATCAGCCAGGGTCTTGCATATTTTGGAGACCAGATAAGTGTCCAGCAAAGTAGTGAGGCATAAGGATCTCAAGAAGTGATCGGCATTGCCCGCCATTATCCACACAGAGACTCGTGTTCAAGGCTCAGGTGTCCCACGCATGTGCCTGGGTAGCTCAGGACAAATGACCAAAGTCTGATTTTCACTGCATGCACAACAGGGAGGGAGGTGCCTGGATTCACCTGGTGATCTTGGGCAGGGTGACCAGCTTTCCTTCCTTGATGGCAGCATGGAAGCTGTGAGCACCGAAGGTCTCCATGGCGATGACGGGCACATCCTCCCAGCCCACCTCTTGCAGCCCCTGGACAACTCCACACAGCAGGCCCCCGCCGCCAACCGAGAGCACAATGGCCCCAGGCTTGGCACTCAGCGTCTCCTTCAATTCCTTGACGATGGAAGTGTGGCCTTCCCTGGGCAGGAGAAGGGTGGCAGGTCAGGGCTGGGCTTCCTAAGACACAAGGGGTGTTTGAAGATGCCAGATGAGGCCCATATTTGCTTCCGTCCCAGGTAGTGGTGGCCCTCGGAACTGGTCGCCTGCCCTCTCCCCACCCAGCCATAGCCTCACTGAACTCTGTGTAGGTGACATCTGCCCGAGAGAGAGCAGGGCTGCGGAAGTAGTGGGTGGACGAAACCCCCACTTCTACCCATCCGTGGGTACATTCTGTAGATGCTCATTCCCCACAGACTCTCAGGGTCCCCAGGGCCCGAGGTTCAGTTGCCCATGGCAGATGCTAGCGTTTGAGTTACCTTCATCAATGCATCCCCACCTCATTTGTTCCTAGTCACCCCCAGATGAGCTGATCTCCCCAAATCTCTATCTGGGGACACCCCCCTCCATTGCTGATGTGTGCATCTGAATGTTTGTGTGTGTGTTTTTTTTTCCTGTATACATTGGGTGTGCAACATGGAGAACCACACATTAAGGCAGGTAGGTACAGTGAGGAGCGGGGTGGTCCCACCTTACCAGATGAGAGGGTCGTCGAAGGGATGGATGTACACCCAGCCTGGGTTGTTCCTTTCTAGAGCCTTGGCCAGTTGGATGGCCTCATCCAACATCTGCGGGAAGAGACTGCAATGATGGGGGCTCTGTCCAGCTGTCAGGACCCCTCTCAGCCCTGCCCCTGCCGGTCTGCACTCACCTCTCCCACGACTTCAACTGTGGCACCTTCATTCTTGAGCTGTTCAATGGTGAGGGTGGGTGTGGTGCTAGGAACAATGATAGTGGCCGGGATGCCCAGCCTTCTGGCAGCATAGGCTGTTGCCATGCCTGCATTGCCCGCTGTCAGGGTAGCAATGGAGGGTGTGTGTCGATAAGGAGAGTCTGGGACCCCAGGTGGGACTGGTCATCCCTTTCCTGTCAGGCTCTGGACTCCCCTCTCATCCTAGGTGACTTCTGGAACCCCAAATATGGACTTCTTTGAGTGGGTTTATTGCTGCAGAGACCAGGGTCCAGAGAGGTGATGCACCTGGCCTCAGGACACACTGTCCAGGATAGGAAGGGAGAGAAAGCCTCCTGGCCACTTACCTGAAGAGCAGACAAAATGTCTATAGCCTTGTGCTGCCCTCTGTTGAGACAAGAGGAGGGGTCAGGCTTCCTCTCTGTCCCTACCTAGGCTCGTCCCTCCCACTGGAGCATCTTCCATCCACACTGAACTCACCTCCCTCCTCTTGGTGTCTGAACCACCCTCCCTTGGGCCTGTCTTCCCCAAGGAGACTATCTGGGGCAAGGGAGCAGGTGTCTTGAGGGATTCTCACGGGCTGGCACCCCATTGCCAGAGGGAACCCTGATATGTGTAGCCTACTCTAAAATTATTTTCTTTTTAGAAAGATTTTGTTTTTTATTTAAGATTTATTTTATTTATTTATGTGTATGTGTGCATGTGTTACCTGCAGAGGGCAGAAGAGAGCATCAGATGCCCTGGAGCTGGAGTTACAGGTGAGCCACCAACTCGGATGCTGAGAGTGCGCCCCAAGTGTTCCTAACTGCTTAGCTAACTCTCCCGCCCAATATTTATTCATTTCTGTTTATGTGAACGTGAGTGTATTTGTTCTTAGAGACCAGAGAGGGCGTCAAATCCCCTGGATTTGGGAGCCGCCATGTGGATACTGGGAACTGAGGTTCTCTGCAAGAGCAACCAGTGCTCTTAACTGCTGAGCCATCTGAACTCCAGCCCTTAAGATTGTTACCATTATTAATTATTTTTATTTTGTTATTATTATCAGAGACAAGGTCTTGTTGTGCAGCCTAGGATGCTACTCACTTTCCACCCTCTTGCCTCAATTTCCTGGGTGCTACAATCTTGGGTGTACATCTGCATACTGGGCTCTAGAACTGTCAGGTAGGAGGAAGTGCCCTTTCTGCCAGGATGCCACCCTGTCCTGTACCGTCTTGCAGAGGTGTCCGATGCCTCGGATCTTGAAGGAGCCTGAGGGCTGGGAACTGTCCATCTTTAGGTACACACTGGTGCCAGCCACTTTGGACAGGGCCATGCTGTCACGCAGCGGGGTCTTCACGTGGAGGGGCTCCTGGGCTGCCATGGCTGGGAGGCAGGAAGGAGATACAAAAGATCAAGACAGCTGCTCTCCTGAGCTCTATGACCCCCCCTTCATACCCACGATGATAAAGGAAGGGCACAGAATAAAATCTCAGCTGGGACCCTTCTATCCCCAGAGTTGGAAGGTCATGAGTTTAGAAACTTCCTTAGACTGCAAGGGAAGGGTCTTGCATAAACATCCTTAGGTTGCAAATTTTGGCAAGTGCAGGGGAAGGGTCTTGCACAAACATCCTTAGGCTGCAGTCATGGGCAAGTTTAGGGGAAAGATCTTGCACAAGGTGGTTCAGAATGAGTCACAAGATGGGGGTGTGGATAAAGCAAGGCTGTGGCCAGCCAAGGACTGTTTCTGCAAAGTCACCAGGAACCAACCTCAGTCCATTTGTTTCCATGAGCTCAGAGCATGTCAACAAACATGAAAGAAATGGGCCAAGTGGGGTCCCTGTGGAGAGTGGCCCTTGGGTCCACAGTACCCATCTATGCTCAGCATTTTTGCCCTATTATATATTACTTATTTAAACACACTGTGTGTGTGTGTGTGTGTGTACTTGCATGCATGCACATAATGTGTGCAGAGTCCAATATCCAGTGTCTTCCTCAGTTGCTCTCCAGCATATTTTTTGAGGCAGGGTCTCTCACTAAGCCTGGCTCTCACTGATTCAGTTAGACTGGCTGGCCACCAAGCCCCAGAGATCCTTCTGTCCCTTGTTCTCTAGTGCTGGGATTGTAGGTATTTTTTTTTTTTGCTGTGCTTGGCATTTTTGATGTGAGTTCTGGGGATATGGACACAAGACCTAATAGGAAGGGCTTTCCCCGGAAGCCCTTCTACAGACTGAGCCATCTCCCAACCCCACATATGCTAAAAACAAACAAACAACAAACAAACAAACAAACAGTATGTTCTTACTATGCAACCTAGGCTAGCTTTGAACTTTTGACTCTCATTCTAGGCAGATGGTAACTCTTGGGAGCATCTATGTATATAAGCGCTCAGTCTCCCTTTGCTGGGATCACAGGTATACCCCACCATGCCTGGCGTTAGACACACTTTTTTTTTCCAAATGAGCCTTTGATCTGGTGCAGGCCTGTATCCTGGCACTTGGGAGGTGAAGGCAAGAACATTAGTCATTCATGGTCATCCTTGGCTACATAAGACCCTATCTCAAAACAAAAACAAAAAGACTTGAGACTCCAGCATCAAGCTGTGAAAGATTCTCAATGCTGCTCACATTTTTTCCTTCCTTCCCTCCTTCCTCTTTTCTTTCTTCCTTTCTCCCCTCTCCCTCCCCCCTCTCTCTTTCTTTCTTTTTTAAGATAGGGTTTTTCTATGTAGCCCTGACCATCCTGGAACTTGCTCTGTAGACCAGGCTACCCTCGAAGTCAGATTCACCTGTCTCTACCTCCTGAGTACTGGGATTAAAGGTGTGCACCACCACCACCTGGTAGCTCTTAGTTTTTTATAAATAGAACTCTTTTTTCCTGGCGTGGGGACCAGAGAGGCAACACAGAGCCCTGATTCACCTTCATCACACAGTTCCCACATTGAGAGGAATCCTCTCAAGGTTACATGACAAGTTCCAGTTTGACTAATGGCACCATGAGGTCCCTTTGGTTGTCTCGACAGTGAGGAAGCATTTGGGTTAACACTGGCTCAGCCGCTGTCACCTTGCAGCCCTATGAGAGGCCCTAAGAGAGATCCAGAGCCAAGTAGGATCAAGCCTAGGTAGATGGTGATTTTTGGGAGCACCTACATATATGAGCACTCATGTGTGCGTGCATGTGTGCATTTGTATATGTGTGCGTGTACCTGTGCATGTATGAGACTCAAACTTATTGTGATCCTCCTGCCTCAGTCTCAAGAGAGATAGACTCAAAGTCATTGTGATTCTTCTGCTGCTCAAGTGCTCAGATTACAGACAAGCCCACTAGGCGCCTCTTTCTGGTAGACCTCTTGAATAATAGGGAAGTAGGGCAAGCCAAACAAGGATACCTCCAAATTTCTTTGCTTTATCCTCCAGCTCCTAGCTAGGTCCCATCCTGATACACCAGACCTCCTCTGGACCTAAAAGGCTCACCTAATGCAGTCTCTGGTTAGTGGGTGGATCCCACCATGCAGACCCCTTCCAGGTGACTTTGGGGAGCGCTACCTGGTCCCTGCCCCAGGCTGCAACATTGGGGACCTTTGGAGAAATGGACAGGATACTGTCCATTTCTCAGGTCTCCCTACTGATTCCCACCCAGAGGCCAGTCCCATCCAGCTCCATAGATGGTAAGAGTCAGGAGAGGAAAAGGTGTAAGGTAGATGGGGGTGGAGGTGGGGGGTGGAGTCTTGGCAAACGGTGTGGAGCAGCGAGCTCTGGGGCAGAAGTCCCTCCCTTGTCATTTGGCTCATGCAAGCACTCAGTAAACACAGCCTGTCCCATCTCACCCTTCTGACATCCTGAGCTGGAGGGTCCTACCATCATCCCATTTTTCAGAACACGGAGATTTGAACTGAATGTGCCCCAGCCCCTCACCCCTTTCCTGGGTACCCCTCTCTGGTTGTCCCTGGCTGTCAGTCCTGGGGTACGGCTGAGGTTGGGGGCCACGTACCCGGCACAGAAGGAGCTGGACGGAGCAGCGAGAGAGGTAGATTGTGTCTGTGTCCTGGGAGAGCAGAAGGTTGGCAGGACGCTCAGCTCCAGGCCTTTATTCTCCAGAGGAACCTCGGGGCCGCCAATAAGGGCCCCGGCAGGCCACGCCCCAAAGCCACGCCCACTGGTCCAGGACGGGGCGGTGGCAGGGGAGGGCACTCAGGCCTGGTCTCCATCCTGCCCTCCAACTCTGTCCACCTCCCCTTTCCTCCTGGTTTCTTCACTTTCAAATGAAGACACTGATCTCTCAAGAACCTGTGGGACCTGGGGTTGTGGGTGGGGATAGCACTAAAGAGCCATTGCCAGGGACCCTGAGGTCCATCTCACAGCAACAGAAAAGCTGGGCAGTTGCTGGACACTTAGTATGTGGCCAAGAAACAGCCACCGCCCAGCCACATGGTGCCTCACACCTGCAATCCCAGAAAGGCAGAGGCAGGAGAACTACGAGTTTGAGATCAGCCTGGACTAAAGAGTGAGATCTTGTCTCAAAATAGAAAGAAGGGACGGAGGGGAGAATGGGACTCAGCCACTGAACCCCAAATTAGTGTCAAACCATAAAAGACATTTGTTTAGAGTGGAAATGAGGCTCAGGTCCCAGAGATAGAGAGAGGTGGGACTTGGGCAGGACATCCAAGCCTGTGATAGACAGAGCTACTTATCTCCATCCTCTAGGGACTCTACATATAAAAGGGCAGATGGGTAAGACCCAGGGGATTGGTTTCAAGCCCTGGCTCTGCTGTTACTAGATATGAGGTTCTGGGCAAGATGGCCTCCCACAGCCTTTGATTGTTCATTTGTAAATGGGAATTGACGCCAGCACCTCTGCGCCAGGCTCTGGAGATGTGAGTGTGTGTTAGGTCTCTCATCTTGAAACTGAACAGGCAGCCAGTGTGTATTAGTAGCCTTCATCATCACCATCACCACGATTACTATGGGCACCATCATCTGCATCACCGCCATCTTTACTACAGTCACCATCATCACCATCAACACCACCATCCCTGTCCATGACCTAGAACTGGGAGGTCTTACACCTAAAATCTCTTCCAGCTCTACTCCAAGCCTCTGGCCTGTTTCTGACTGTGTGCAGAGGCCTGTGTATCCACAAGGACACACACACACTAGCACGCATGCATGCACACACACATGCATGCATGCACGCATGCACACTTACAGGCAGACGGTTCAACTGCTTCTTTCTCTGGCCTCCCCAAGAAAGCTCTCTTGTCCTGGTGTCTGGGCCAAGAATACTGATGGACACAGTGAGGCGATAGCGCAGTCAGCTTGCCCTGGCACCCCCCTCCCAGGCAGAACAAGCTACATATTGTCTTTGCTCCCCTGATCACCCACAACAGGGATGACCACAGGGTGTGGGTCAAAGGCACGAGATAGGCAAGCTGGGGTAACATGGATATCACAAAGCCCTTGTGTAAGAAACATACCTAAACATAATAAAGGCATTATACAGCAAGTCAACATCAAACTAAATGGAGAGAGACTCAAAGCGATTCCTCTGAAATCAGGAACAAGACAAGGTTGTCGACTCTCTCTTTATCTATTCAATAGAGTAGTACTTGAAGTTCTAGCTAGAGCAATAAGACAGCAAAAGGCAATCAAGGGAACACAAAGCCATTGGGTAGATACAGCCATCTCCTGTTTCTCTGTACCAGCACCCTATTGCCAGAGTAATGGGGTCCTGGTCCCATGCTATGGATCTCCTTTGACCCATGTTGTAGGTAAGAACAGGCCTGGGAAATGGCATTCACTGAGAGTCATCAGGGCAAGGGTAACTTGGAAGATGCTAACTTGGGGACTCTTAGTCTTTAGGGAACACAGAGCTGATGGAGAGGGTCGGACTGGGGACAGTCAAGTGGACCGAGCAGTTTGGATACACCTGGAGGGTCTAGATAATCATTATTTTTAGATTAAAATTTGAGTCAGGGTCTCAGGTAGCCCAGGCTGGCCTCCAACTCACTCAGTTGCTGAAGGTATCTTTCAACTCCTGATTCTCCTGCCTCCACCTTCGGAATGCTGAGATCATAAGTGAGTGCCAACCGGGCCTACTTTACCTGGTACTGAGGATCAAACACAGGGCCTTGCGCATGCTGGAAAAGCACTCTGCCAACTCAGCCATATTCCCAGCCCCACCCTCACCACCCCTTTCCAGCCCTTTCACACAGGCCTACTTCCCACCTCAATCCAGTCCAGCATCTCAAGGTGGTATGATTTTTATATCCGGGGGGACAATCCCTGGAGATACGTTAGACGTATCAGAGTGGAGAACATCATACTTAGTTACACGCAATGCCCAGGACAGCTCCAGATACCAACGGCTGCGTCTGAAGAACCACCCCAGGGTAACACAAATGACACCCAACCCTCCTTGTTCTGCCATCTCTGTTCCTGGCACTAAGGCCATGACATAACCTCGTGTACAAAACATGTTCTATCCCAACTGCTGCTGAAGCAGAGCCAGGCGTCACATGGGCATGGTGGCTCGTACCCGTCACCCTAGCACATAGGAGGCCGAGGTGGGAGAATTGCTACAGGTTTGAGGCCAGACTGGGGTACAGAAAGAGATTGTGTCTCTAAAGAAAAGGAAAAAGCGGCCAGGTGTGGTAAATCTGTAAACCTGGCACTTGGGAGGCAGAAACGGGAGGATCCGGAGTTTGACGTCATCCTTGGCTATCTGGTGGATTCAAAGCTAGCCTGGGATACATGAGAACCTGTCTGGAAAAAAATAAAACGTGACACACAGACACACACACACTCAAGGCTGGAAAGACGGCTCAATGGGTAAAGACATTTGCTGCCAAGCCTGATGATTCCCACAGATTGTTATCTGATCCCCACATGTGTGCCATGGCACGTACACAGAACCCCAAATAAATAAATAAATCTAAAAAAACATTTTTTTAAAATGTTAAAAAAAGAAAAGAGTTTGTCTGACCAGGGAGTCTCCCTTGTTTGGGACTCTGTGTCCAACCTCTGTGGTCCCTGCTGGGGGACTTGGCAGCCACTGGGCTCTTCACCGTGGTCACCTGCTACCACCCTCGCTGGGTGGGTGGAGACTCCAAGAACCCTCTAGGGTTTCCTGGTGGCACCGTCCGTTGCTGACTCCCACTGTGCGTCATTCCTAGTGACAAACAGTCTTTGCTGATCCCTGATGTGTAAAATCAGCCACCAAGCCAAGGTCAGGACCTGGCAATAGCTGGAGCTTCTCCACAAGGTTATCATTGCCCATGGTGACCCATGATGACCCGTGCTGGACGTGGGGAGCTGGGCAGACCCCATGCCCTTAGAGACCCCGAGAGAGACAAAGCCACAGCTCCTTGACAAATGAAGGGCGAAAGAACCTCACACCCCAAGGGCACGTACACTGCTTAATTTGAGACGACAAGGCTAGGATTTTTTTTTTTCGCTTTTTTTCCCTTCTCCTAGGGGTTGCAGCAAATACAGGAGCCAAAGCAGCTTGGGTAGTCGCTGTTGAGTTATGTGGGAACCTTCTGGGGCTCCAGCCCATAGCATCCCTTCAGGGGCAGTGGACGGCAGGGTCAGGGCCTGTCCCCAGCCCTCCCCACACCAATGTTTTCATCTGTCACAAACTCTTTCCGTTTCTCTGAAGTCCAAGGGGTTTTGTTCTATGAGCCAGGGTCTCACTAAGTAGCCCAGGCTGGCCTTGAACTCCTCATTCTCCTGCTTCAGCCTCCGAGTGCTGGGACCAGAGGTGCACACCACTATACCCAGATTAGCTACGGGTTTGTTTGTTGAAGGCGGGTTCTCCTGTAGCCCAGGCTGGCCCTGAATTTCCTTTGTAGCCCAAAATGGCCTATATCTTCTGATTATCCGGTCTCCACCTCCCAAATGTTGGGATTTCAGGCATTCACCACGATACCTGGCTTAGGTATGCATTTTTAAGTCTCTAGGGAGGCACACCCAGGTTGACTGTCCCTCAAAACTTGGTCCTTGGTCTCTGTGCTGGATGACCCAACTAGTCACAAACTAACTCCTTCCCTTGTCTGGACAAATGAGTTGTAGTGGTGGAGTCTCTGCCAGGGTTTCAAACTCAAATACATCGGAGGTTCAGTCACAAGCTGTTGGGCGCTGGCTGGGTGGATAGGGTGACCACAGAACGGTGACTTTTCAGACAGGATGGTATAGCTTAGCTCGGCTGATAGAAATAATGCCCGAAGGTTGGATTCTCAGGTCTGCGATGATCAAACTGAACTTGGCTGAGGAACCACGCTGTGTTGTGTGTGGGAAGACCCAGGTTTCTTTGCTCTCAGTCGCGGCTCACTGGCTGCCCTGGTGGCTTCACCTGCCAGGTCCCTCTCTGGTCCTACTTAGTGGCTCATGCCAGGTCCCTGGTCCTACCTAGTGACTCAGAAGTCATGCAGAGAGGACTATGAGGTGAGACTTGTGACCGAGGGTGCCCAGCAAGTGTCAGAGGCAGAAAGGTCCCTCTGTCCTGGGAACAGGATGCACAGCTGGGACTGAAGTGGTGAAATGAGGATTAATGAGCAACCCAGAGGACTGGCATGGTGGCTGTGTGGTGGCCTGAGGTGTCAGGGACAGGAGCTGGCTGACAAACATAACCTCCCCCCCTGAATTAACCTTCCAAGCCCAACCTCCCCCTCATTCCAGCCAGCAGCTGTGGAGCCCAGCCCCTCTGCCGTTCAGCCTCTGGCTCTGCCCCTGCTGTGTGACCTTGCGCAAATGACTTGGTTTCTCCAAACCTGTTTCCTCGGTGCAGGGTTGATTTTAATGATTTTAAATTTTTTTTGTACGGATAGTTGTACATTCTGTGATGAAATGACATCATAGACTTCTTTGCCTCTTTTGCTGTATTCTCAAGGAATCTCTTTTCCAGCCATAGGAATGGCAACGGAGTGCCAGCTGTCTGGCCCCAGTGTCTGCTCTACCAGTACACGAGGCTTGTACTCACACCCCCCCCCCCCTCCCCGCCCACCCCCAGCAGAGTTCAAACAAGGCACAGAGAGGTTGAATGATCTGCCTGGGGTTCCCCAGCCAGGAAGTGGTGTCTCTACTATGTGCAGCCGAGCCTGGTTCCAAGATCTGTGTTCTGCATGTCGAACACCCTTCCTCCCCATGGGAGCGCTGCGCCATTCTGTTTTCTTTCATTTCTTGGCTTTCATTTAAAAAAAAATTAAAATTACACTTGATGTGTGTGCATGCGCACACGCGTGTGCCCGTGTATGCATGCGTGTGTGTGAGCGTGTATGTGAGCATGTGTGTGTGTGCGTGTGTGAGCATGTGCGCGCGTGTGTGTGCACATGTGTGTGAGAGTGTGTGTGAGAGTGTGCTCCCGTGTGTGCGTGTGTGTGAGCGTGTGTGTGTGTGTATGCATGCGTGCGCGTGTGTGTATGTTCGTGCACATGTGTGTTGGTACACTTGCGTGCCACAGCATGTATGTGGAGGTCAGAGGTCCATTTTTTGTCATCAGTCTTCTCCTTCCACCATGTTGGTCCTGGGAACCGAACCCAGGACATCAGTTTGGTGACAAGTGTTCTCATCTGGCCGACCACCTCAACCGTCCTGTTTGTTTGTTTGTTTTTGCTTTGAGACAGTCTTTCTGTTGAATTTACAGCGCTCCTCCTGCCTCAGCCTCTAGAGTGGTGAGATTACAGGTGTACTAGCACTTGGTTTGTCTTATTACTTATGATTTTTCTTTTAAAAATGATTTAGTTCAGCACTGTGGCGCACACCTTTAACCCTGGCACTCGGGAGGCAAAGGCAGGAGGGTCTCTATGCATCTGAGGCCAGCCTGATCTACAGAGTGAGTTCCAGGACCGCCAGAGCTACATGAAGAAACCCTGTTTCAAAATTACAAAATAATATATT